TCCTTCCTTCCTTCCTTCCTTCCTTCCTTCCTTCCTTCCTTCCTTCCTTCCTTCCTTCCTTTTAAAGACAGGGTCTCTCTATGTATCCCTAGATATCCTGGAACTCTCTATGTCAGTGGTTTTCAACCTTCCTAATGCTGTAACAGTTCCTCATGTCATGATGACTCCCAACCATAAAATTATTTTGTTGCTGCATCCTAACTGTAATTTTTGCTACTGCTATGACTCATAACATAAAGATCTGATATTCAGGATATCTGATATGTGACCCTCCCCCCACCCGCCACAAAGAGGTAAAAAAACACAGCCTGAGAACCACTGTTCTATATAGACCAGGCTGGCCTCTAACTTAAAGAAATTTACCTGTCTCTGCCCTCCAAGTGCTGGGATTAAAGGTAGGAACCACTATGTCCTGCTGATTTTGCATTCTTCATTTGTCTTTCACTCCTGTTATTACAATAGCTAGAACTTCTAGTGTAGTGTGAAAAAGCAGCGGTGATAAGGGACAATGTTGGCTTGTTCCTGATCTTGTCAAGCAGAACTACAAACTTCTCACCATTTGTCTATGGTGTTACCTATAGTGTTTTGTTTTTTTAAGATGTTCTTTATCACGCTAAGGAATTTATTCCGATTCAAGTTTTCTTGGAGATGTTATTGTTGTTGATGTTGTGTGTTTATTTAAATAATGACTAGCTGATGGATTTGAAAACTTTTTTATATCTTTTGATATGTTCATGTGATTTTTATTTCTTCTGTGAACTGTTAATGTGATTGATAACATCAAATGATTTTTTCTTTTTTAAATTTTTTTCTTTTTTTTTAATCTTTATTAATTACACTGTATTCACTTTGTATCCCCGCTGTGGTTCCCTCCCTCCTCCCATCCCAATCACTCCCTTCCTCCCCCTTCTCCCCACATGCCCCTGCCCAAGTCCACTGATAGGGGAGGTCTTCTTTTCCTTCCTTCTGATTCAGTCTATTAGATCTCATCAGGAGTAGCTGCAGTGTCTTCTTCTGTGGCCTGATAAGGCTGCTCACCACTCGGGGAGGTAATCAAAGAGCAGGCAAATCAGTTCATGTCAGAGGCAGTCCCTCTTCCCATTACTATAGAACCCACTTGGAGACTGAACTGCCATGGGCTACATCTGTGCAGGGGTTCTAAAATATCTCCATGCATGCTACTTGGTTGGAGTATCAGTCTCAGGGAAGACCCCTGTGCTCAGATTTTTTTGGTTCTGTTGCTCTCCTTGTGGAGCTTCTGTCTTCTCCAGATCTTACTATTTCCCACTTCTTTCATAAGATTCCCTGCATTCTGCCCAAAGGTTAGCCATAAGTCTTAGCATCTTCTTTGATAGTCTGCAGGGTACAGCCTTTCAGAGGCCCTCTGTGGCAGGTTCCTAACTTGTTCCCTGTTTTCTCCTTCTTCTGATGTCCATCCTCTTTGCCTTTCTGGATGGGGATTGAGCATTTTAACCAGAGTCCTCCCTCTTGATTAGTTTTTTAGATGTACAGATTTTAGTAGGTTTATCCTATATTATATGTCTATATGATTAAGTATATAACGTGTATGTTTTTCTGCTTCTGGGATAGCTCACTCAGGATGATCTTTTCCAGCTCCCACCATTTACCTGCAAATTTCATGATTTCCTTGTTTTTTATTGCTGAGTAGTATTCCATTGTGTATCATCAACTGATTTTTGGAAGCTGAATTTTCCTTGCATATATACATGAGATAAATATCTCTTTGTGATGATATGAAATTATTTTTGTACATTGATTTTGTGTACCAATATTTTGTTGAGGATTCTGACATCTTTTTTCATGTTTTTTATATCAATTCAATATACATCATGGTCATAGGCTCCTCACTCCTCTCCTCCGAGTCACGCCCTCCCTCCCGCATCTCTCCTCGCCTCTGTTGCCTGCTATGTTTTATTTTGGCATTTTTATTCATAAGAGATGATGACCTGTCCCTTTTGTCTGAATTTTTAGGAAATTAGACTGCCCTTCAAGCATTAGTAAGCAGCATTCTATCTGCCTTCCTCTTTTGGAAAGACTGTAGAGGCTTCATGCAGTTGCCATCTGATCCTAGAGCTGTTTGTATGGGATGCTGCCAATTATCAATGTAAAACTGCTAGTAGGTATTGCATCCAGACTGTACCTTTAAGGGAATTAATTGGTTTATTTCTTTCAGGTTATCATCTCTGTAGGCACAGAAGTGCTCATAAGCCCTCCTTATTGTTCTTTTGTGTCCATACGATACTTTTTTTTTTTTTTTTTACTTCTCATAGTTTTTAGTACTTTTTTAAGTCTTCTTTCCTTCTTAGTTATTCTCTCTAGAGGCTTAAAAATTTCATTGATTTTTTTTTTCTAATAACTGGCTTTTGGTTTTGATTTTTCTCTTTTGATTTCATGTTATCAATTTCACTAATTTCTATACTGATTATTTTTTTCTTATGCTTACTCTGGATGTAGTTTAGCTTCCTTTCTGGATTTCTAAGATGGAAACTCAAGTTATTTTTTTCCTCCTAACCATGATCAATCTGTATCTTAAGTGTCCCTCTTAGTACTGCTTTTGCTGTGCCCTGCAACTTTTTATAAGTTATGTTTCCATTTCCATTTAGTTTAAATGATTTGTAATTTCTCTTGAGATTTTGTGATTGAGCCATGTTATTTAGAAATATGCTTACCCTAGATTTTGCACATACAGTACACCTTCAAGTAACTCAGTACTGCTTAATGAGCAGTGCTCATGGTAATTTTGCTATTGTTTCTTAGATTTATATTTCTCTGCATCGCCATTTGTTCAGTTTTATTAAAACCTTTACATGCTAGTCATGTAATTGCTTTCAGTCCTGTTTGGTGATTTCAACATCTCTGATTGTTCTGCCCCTTCAGATTGTGGCGTTGTTCCTCCAGATTGTGGTTCTGCTTTGTGTTATATCTTGGAATTTTCTGTTGAAGGGTAAATGCAAAAAGGAATGAATGGCCTTTTGTCTTGTGGTGATGAGTTGTTGCATAGCTGGAGCATTCTGAAGCCTTTCCTGAGCCCTGTCTCTTGCCTGTGTATTTTGCACTGCTTCTCTGTTTGGGGTCTCCTTTTTCATTTCCCATTGTCACATCCTCGAGGGCTATGGAATGAGTAAGGGAGGCTGGATCAATATATTTCCCCTTCCACGTAGCCCTGGTAAAATCATTTCTCCTGAGAACAGGCCTCGTTAAGAACAGCAAGTCTTGCATATTTTAAGCAGTTCTTTTTTTCTCTGTCTGCCAGAAGCAGAAAGGGACTCTCTCTTCACTGTGAGAGTCTAACTTTTAGAGGTAAAAATCACGGAAGTGTGGTGGTCCCCTGTGACTTGTAGCTCTAGTCTTCACTTCGTGCCTCCAGCAAACCCCAGTTATGGCTCAGGACTTTGTATTTCTTTGTTGGTTTTTGTTTTCTTTTTCTGAGTGTTTGTTTTACAAAGGTTCAGCCAAGGAAGTTGTGATTCTGAGCGTCTACTTGACTACCTCCAGTTTGAGCCAGTGACCTGTCCTGTGTTCTTATTTCTTTGATTGATTGGAAAGGGTTATTTTTCAATTTATTCATCCTTGCACTCATCAGATGAAGTGATTTCTCCTTACACGTTGCACTGGAAACCAGAGTAACTTCCCATTTCTTCTTGTGTTTTTGCCTGTTATTTTTATGCATCTATATTTATCTCTAACAGTTTTGAATTCATTTTTATAATGCATGTGGCATATGAATTAAGGTAAACTTTGCATAATGACACTAACGTATCTATAGTTTTTCACAGTATTTTCTTTTTATTAGTTCATTGTAAGGTATATAGTTATGTCCTCTCCTTCATTCTTGATAATTGCAACTTATGACTTCTCTTTTTATTTTTTCCCCACCCCACTGGTCAGACTGGCTGAAATGTATCCCTTTTACTAGTAGTAGCCATTGTAAGTACTTATCATGTGTTTTATTCCTTTTAAAGAACTTGCCTTGTTTACATATTTAAACTTATATATTTAAATTTATATATTTAAACTCACTGTTTTCTTTTGTTATCCTCTTGTACAGATAAATAAAAACTTGCCTGCAATTTAATACATAGAGTGACATAAGATTCAAACCAAGTTTAGCTGACTCCACAATCTTTTGACCACTTTGCTCTATTGACTGGTGAAAGGTGGGGCAGAATCCAGCAGGGCCTAAGAAGAGCTTTTTAGCTTCCCAACATTGTGACTAGAGACATTCTTGACATTTCCGTCTGTTCTTAACCGTTCCTTTCTGCCATTGCATCCACCTCCGTAAGAGCATAAGAGTACCATTAGGTACTCCCAAACGATTACAGGCTTGGTCAGGACACCTGAAAGGACGTTCAGAAGAATTCAGAGCCTTCTAGCTGCCACAGAATACTAAATAACACATTGGGTTGTTTACAGAGCTTAAGCACTGCTGAGTCCTCTAGCACCAGACCACCTGACAGCATCCTAGGGCTGTCGATTTGGAGTGCAAAAAGAGCCTTGATTATGTTTTGTTTTGTTTTTTTATTCATGGATATGAGATATCCTTTTGAAAATAAAGGCTGACATAGCTTCCTTGTTTCCTCAGGTCTGACAGTAACAGCTGTAAAAGACTCAGGAGAATGGAATTTGGAGGCTGGTGCCTTGGTGCTTGCAGATGCTGGCCTGTGCTGTATTGACGAATTTAACAGCCTCAAAGAGCATGACAGAACCAGCATCCATGAAGCAATGGAACAACAAACCATAAGTGTTGCTAAGGCTGGGTAAGCATTTACATCTTATAACACCAAAAAAGTGGAGAAATTATTCAGTATAAATTGAAAGAAAATGGAACCATGTTTGTATACACTCAGGGATTATCAACCATCACTCTTGAAGTACAGAGTTTTACTTACTAGAATATAGGAGCGAATAAAGACATAAAAGTGAATTGTTGAGAGAAAGAATAGTTAAAAATAAAGTATAACAGACTGTCTTAGTTTTATATGTCTGTGAAGAGACACCATGATCAATGCAGCATTTAAATGAGGGCTTGCTCACAGTTACAGAGGGTTATCCTTTCATGACAGGGAGCATGGCACTAGGCAGGCATGGCACCGAGCTTACAACCTGATTCTCTCTGCAGCAGGCAGAGAGAGAGAATAAGACTGGGCCTGGAGTGGGCTTTTGAAACCTCCCCAGTGGCACACCTTCTCCATCAAGGCCACACCTTCTAATCCTTCCTAAACAGTCTACCAACTGCCTTATGGGGACCATCCTCATTCAGACCAACAAACAGACTGAATTAACTCAGTGGGGGCAATTTATAGTCATCTTTCAACATAGGATTCAACTTACTCTTTCCATAAAAATTGTGTGTGTACACAGAGCATATTAAATACTGGGGATTTTGAAAGCTTCATGGAGTGCAATAGAGATAAATACAGTGAAATGCCTTCTAGGATTATATCTGAAAACTATAAAGCACTAGAAGACCAGGGAGACACACTTCATTTCACCCATCAGAAGGTAATATTATTATGATGTAAATTCTTCCCAAACCAGTCTATAGACTCCATGCTATTCCAGTCAATTCTAACCAGGTGTTGATAACCTGATAAATTTTACAAAGAAAGGCACAAAAACTAGAGTTACCAAAACAAGTCTGAAAGAGGATAACTGGATATATATACACTTGCTATATACTTCTTGGGGTAATACTTACAGGAGTCACATAGAGTGAACACCCATATTCATTGTTGTACTACCCATAGTCTTTGTAAATGGAAGTCCATCAACATATGAATGAATAAAGAAACTGTGCTACACAATGGAATTTAGTTTAGCCATAGTGAAAAGTGAATTATGACATTTACAGGAAAATGAATAGAACTGAATATCATTGTGTTAAGCAAAATAAGCCAGACTCAAAAACAAGTACCACATGTGTTTACTCGTGTGAGAAGGGAGGAAGAAATTTTAGCAGAGTAGGAAGGCAGGGGAAAAGAGGAATGGAAAATGTGACATGAAAGCAGAGGGAGGACTGTTTAGCAGAAGGAAGTGACCAGCAAGAGGGACGTGGCAGGGCAGTGAGGGGAAGGGAGAGGACAGTATCAGAATGTAATTATTATGTATGTTTAAAAATAATGAAACACATGACTTTGCATGCTAACTTAAAACTAATTTTAAAAGAAATTTATATAAATGACATAAATATGCTAGAGCACTTTGATATCCATAGCAAAAGAGGGTGGGAGCCGGTACAAACATGGTTTATAGAAGCTTTATTTCTAATCCCTCTGAACTGAAAACAACCTGGGCTTATTCTCAGACAGTGGATAAACTGTGATACCTATGTATCATGAAATACTATTAGCCACATACAGGAACAGACTATCATTACATGAACCAACATGAATAACAGCATTATTCGAAGTGAAAGATATCAAGACATGATTCCGTCCATATATGTGAAATTCTAAAAAAGGCAAAACTAAGGAGAGATCAGGTCAGTGTCTGCTAAAGGTTAGGGAAAGAGAAATGACTTCAGAAAGGCATCGTAAAGGGATGCAGTTTTAGTGTTGTGTAACTTAACCACAGTAATTCTTCTGAAAACATGGAAACTCAAATCTTTGCCCTCAGATCACTCTCTCAGATTGCTGCTTTGGTTTCTGAGCACTTGTTTTTCCTGACTGGTGACCGTGAGTGAACATAGCATAGTACATAGCCTCTCTTTGGATGTTGTTTTAAAACCACCCAGAAAAATACCACACAAGAAGACGGTGAAAGAAGTTACCATGTCCAAGACACCACAGTTGCCCTGTTGTAGCTGAGACAAAGTCTCCCAAAGGAAATAGTTGGAAGAATAATTTTCGGATTGGACTCATCTTAGAGGATTAGAACCATTTGTTGCTACTTACAGGCAGTTTTTCATTGTTTCTTCTGTAAACTATCTACCAGATACGTAATATGCATTACATAGTTTGCCCAAGAAGCAGCTTGAACAGTATGATTTAATGAATTGTTCACTGGGGCTTCTGGGTCAGACCACCACACCATGAGCACAGTGGCAATGGTTACTACACAAAACATTTGTATTACGGTTTAAAGATAAAACCCCTCATGTGTTTCTGCTTTGTCTTGACTTCTGTACAGTGTTAATGCTTTCTCAGCAGAGGCACTCACCACAACTAGTATTTTAGCACAACTAGTATTTTAGCAGTTTATGAGTTGGCATGTCATTGGTCTAGTGGCAATCTCTGATCTAGTCAGCTATTTGTCTGAAGCAGTTAATACAGAAGAGACTGTGCTATCATGAGCTTGGTGTATGGTCCAGCATGAGGCTGTCCAGAAGTGTAATGAGGACAAAAGATCACTTGAGGAACATACCAAGAATGGGTCATGAAGCAAGTTCTGGTTAGCTGAAGTTGTCAGACAGACAGAAAGCCTGATGAATTCTTCTCCATAGGATTTCAGAGGCTCTAAGGACACTGTTAAATATTGCTAGTAATATGTAGACACTCAGTTCAGCTCTGCAGTAGGTTCTACAACTTCTCCAAAAAATTATAGGTACTTCCAAAGTGTGATTTTATTATTTATGTCTTGCTTTTCTGTAGTTTTTCATGGCAGTATCACAAGGTTTTTGAGTTAGCAGCTGCATCCCCAATATTTCTCTGCCACCTACTTGGTGGTGAGAGCCAGTGGATACACTCCTCATGTTCCGCTGTAACTCATGTGTTCACTTTTCAGACTGTTCACTCTGCATCACTGAATTGTTGAAGAGGAAGTTGGATTTCTTCCAACAGCAGTCATCTAATATTTTTGGTTAACAGATTTTAGAAACTGAAATTCATTACCTCTAACTAGTACTCTGCTAACCTTCCTGAAGCAAAGTGTCAAGTAAACACCAAATGCAAAACTCTTTAAAACAATATTTTAGATATATATGGCATGACACAGTGTTAATTCGCAGCAGATGAAGGTAAGTGTGAAAAGGAATACATAATCATTAGTTCTACTAAAATTAAGGGTATAGGCTACTTTGAATTTCAGGCTTGGAGAAACCCTTACCTTGTCTTTATTTTCGGTTCAAGCACTTCAAATGTGATCCCGTAGGGTATGAGTCTTCTGCGTATAGCCATCAGTCATATATTCTGTTCCCTATCTCGAACCATCAAAGGTTTTTCCTTGAGAGATTCAGTACTTTCTTATGGCATCATTTTCAAGAACCTTTGAAGATAGCAGTTTTGTTTTCCCCTTTCTCATATCTTAAGTGACTAAGATATGTTGATTAGGAAAGTATCTCAATTTGGATTGTGATCTCCCTTAAGGATTACATGTAGAGCATTCTCTTAGAATATATCCTGCCTACAAGGCTACAGGGAAATTTCTCTTGGGTTTTTTTTTTTTTTAACATGTTATTTCAGACACACTAAAGGGTAATAATTCTTTCCAAAAACAAGAACTATAAACTTAATTATTACACTTATCTATGCTTATTACCCAAGTAGCCTTTTGAGTTGAGGCTAAACATTATATACTCTTTTCATATGATGGGCTCATACTTACATGGACATATTATAGCCCGTACACTTTCCATTGTAATGCTTAAGAAATTGGAAAGGAACCAAGGTGATTTCTGCAATAAGGCTTATTACAATCAGAATATAAACAAAGATAAGAAAAATCCTCATGAAGCTGGGAGTTTACAAAAATGGAAATCATGTCAGTAACCAAATAGAAGCTTCTTGGTAAATGATGAAGACCAACAGTTTCATTCCTTGCTCACGTTGCTTAAACTTGGAACTGTTGGGTGAGACAGTGCCATCTGGCCACATTACGTCATACTAACCTCAAACTCTTGAGCCCGAAGGCTCCTCGTGTTCCAGAGTCTCAGAGAGCCAGGACAAGCATGCAGCACTGTCCCAAGCTCTGGGACATTTTGCATGTGTGTGCATGTGGTGTGCATACACTCCTGTGTCGCAGTACCACCAGTGTGTTTTTATTTGTCTAGCCCTATGAGATTCTTTAAATCCTGCATTGTGCTTAGCAGCTGTGTTTTTTAAATGGGGTTCTTTTAATATAGGAGTGTGAGACAGCTCTTCATGTGAAGGTTGACTCTCAAACTTTTTGTTTTTGAGCTTACGCTTTTGCTCTTGTGTTTGCCATGCTGAAAGGTTCTGCAACATACTGAAAGGATCTTACCGGTCAGAGTGGACTACTTCTCCAGCACACAGGAGATTAACACACTAGGTTATTTGTCCCTTATGTGAGGGACCTTCCCTCATAACCTCATCTTAACTGGAAACTTCCAAGGGTCCCCTCTCCAAATGCCATCACACCACGTGTCAGGAAATTAATATGTGACTCCGTGCTCCACTCCATGTAAAGATGAAAAACAAAACCTACTGACTTGTTTACAGTTCAGTGTTAAATATAATCACAGTGTTATGCAGTTGTTTTTCAAAATTCTTTGTCTTACAGACTAAACCATAACTTATTGACTCCCTGCTTTGCTTCCGGCTAAAGTCTTTCCGTGTCTTATGAAGTTGTTTACTCTAGACACCTCATATAAACAGAGTCATGGCGCTTTCCTTGCCATGGTGCACTCATAGCTGCTAATAGTATAGATTGTATTGTAGCTCCTAAAGCTGAGAACCTGTCCTTTCTTCTGTGAACACCTGGGTTGTTTGTCTCTCAGCAGTTGTTTCCTGTGCTAGATGTGGGGATGGCATCAGCTGCTTAATCATGGCTATGTCAATGCCATTTAAGTAGGAGATTTCAT